CTCCACTGGATAGTCGCGTGGCACGAGCTTGAAACATGTTTCCCTACTTGAAATTATTTTTCGAAACTGAAATACTCTGAAAATAAATAAAAATTTATTTTATTTATAAATCGATAATGGCTTATTAAAGATAATTCGACTAGATAATTCAGCTAGCTCTCTGTTTAATAATAATACCAAGAAATTATTTCATTAGATCGCAAAGCCTAATTCAAAAGTGGAATACCCCTACATTTAAAATATCGAATCGATTTCACAAACACCTATCGATATGGGCCGTCTACAACTCTAATTTTTATTAAAGGTCTGCAGAGGGCAAAACCATGCTCAAAAATGTTGTATACTTCCCTCATGATATGCAGAGCCGGCATTTAGTGTGTGTCATAGTTAGTTAATGTGTTTTAGAAGCATTTTAAATGATTTGAATTATTACGTAAATGATGCAAAGGAATAACACTACATACGTACATGTGTCTTCACAAACTGGCAATGCAATTGTTTGTAGATGATTTGTTATTGCGTAACTTACCTGTGTAAGTTTTCAGGCTTTCCCCATCCCTTCTCGAAAAATCTTGTAATAAGCATTCGTCGATAGAGACTGTCAAGTTTGCTGGGTGGCATGTTTTGTAAATATTTGTTGTCAAAACAGTGGGACTTTTTACTGCACCAACTAGGGTGCTCAATTTAGTTAACTAGTTCATCTAATCGGGTTAATAGAACGATTTGGTGAACAAAAATATCGATATGCCCATCAACATAGAACATAATCAATGTTACCATGAATTAATTCGTAAGAACAAATGTTTGTTAAGTTTTCTTTTCATTTGTTGCAAGCCTGCTATAAAATAACAATTACTTTTACAAGGTATATATGTATAAAAATAATATAATCCATACATCTTGGTAAATATTTAAATAAGTAAAAAAGTGTTTATGCCATATTTAACACTTTGTTGTTGCCTAAATTATGTTAAATTAATTTATTTATAGTCAATTGGTACTCCAAGTATCGACGCTGTCTTGTTTTTGAACTTGTCATTTGAAATTTCAGACTAGTTCGATTATGGAACAAGTGGTTTTTTGGAACTTCTCAGAACTCAATAACATTTATGTTTACAAGTGGATTGTTATTAAAAAGAAATATATACAATTTGTTTCATAATGAACCCATGTGTACTGGTCATATCTTATGGAAACCTTTCTGCAATGAAAATTGTTGAAAGTATGTCCTTACGCTCAATCACACATACATACAAAAATAGAAAGTGTATTTCATTCTAGTTTGTAAGACAGGCAGTTTTGTATAAGAAACCACAAAGTATTGTTGCAGGCAAGTATTGAGGAAAAGAGGATACCAAGTAACACCTCCTAGATGAGCAGCAGCCGTGTTGTAATTACTTTATGTACACCTACATTATTCACTATAAAAGATACCATCCACAGATTGAAATAAAGTTAAGCTGCCAACAATATTGCGGTGAGGTGTTGAATGTGCCGGCATGCTCCATTATGAAGTTAACAAATTGTAAAATTGGAAAGGATTCATTGCTTATGTTTCTGCCATAATGATGTACGTTCACCTGGATTAGGGGCCTAACCTATTGTTACTTAGCCAACAACGAAAAGCAACTTATACACAAGAAAATTTTAAATTCGTTTTATATATATATTATAAAACAAAGTTAAGTTTCATCGCTTCAATTTCTATTTGCAGACATACTAACTGAAATAAATCAGCCAAAGGTAATAACACCCGTGACATACGAGTCCTTGGTTATAAACCATTACAAATGTGATATTAGAACCAAATATTACAATACCAGCGTATATTTAGTACCTTTCGATGGAACGTACGACGAGGTTCCAACAGAATTAAGGAACACAACGGAATCTCTAATTGTATACTTTGAGCCAAACGATGTAAGTAGGCAATTCGATGTAAAAGTTATATTGATTTCATATTGAATATTTCCTTACAGAAATCATTTATTAACAACCTTTCGGGTCTTAATGACTTCATAATAACTAATAAAATCCAGCTTGGATTTTTAATAACAACAGCATTTTCTGGTAAACCCAATGAATTAACATTCGAAGACCTTAAAGAAAAGGCAAATATAGTATTTGATGTAATAACACTTAAAGAAGAGGATGAGGAACATTCTGAAGATGCGTTGTGCGAAACAGATAAATATTCTGAGATTGTAGAAGGCTTGAAAAACTTTGTATGGTCAAACATAAAAACTAAAGCCTCGAGTAAGTAGCGCACTGTTCATATTTTATGCCTTAAACAAGACATATCTTATTAATTTGATTATAATTTTTCTACCTTTATTTGCAGCCTCCAATTGCAAACAGCCCAACAATGCTGAGGATCTGGAAAATGAACTGAATGATTTTGAAAAATTATTAATTACGGCACAAAACCTGCGCAGCGACACACGTTTAACTCGAGATGAAATTTTAAATAAAGCCGAAGAATTAGCGGAAGTTATGTCGGCAATTTTAAATGATAATGATAGTGATTAATTTTAATAAATATTAAAACAAAATATATTTGGGTCTGCGTGCCTCGTTTGTTTTTCTTTTCAATACTTTCGAAAGATTACGATTTAAGGCACGTCGAAACAGATTTGGAAGGTATCTCATATCCAAAGAATAAATACAACTTTCTAATCTTATCAAAACAAGCGAATTCTAACTTTGACGGAAGCATATCTCGTAATTTATAAAAGTTTAAGTCAATAAGTTGATTAAATCTTACATATTTTTTGATTTTTCCTCCTAAACAAAAGTTTATAAATTAATATTCACTGATATTTAGAAAAAGCGCGGCACAAAGCACATTTTTGCTGCTTTGCTGCTTATTTTTAAAAGCCTTAGTTGTTGACAAAGAGAAAACAATTTAATTTATGCCCACGACTTGACATTTTATATGCATTTCAAAGCCGATATATACATATTTATTCAATATGTCTGCGTACTAGCCTTAAGACACTATAAAAGGTAGGACCATACTTGGTAAAAGCTTTTCAGTATTTTAACATATCTATTCGATAACTTAATTTTTACCAAATTATCTGTATCTTTTTAATCTTTATAAGTTCTGTTTCTGCATGTAAGTTTTTTAATTTTAATAATTAAAATTTGGTGGGTGAAAAAGTTGAATTTCGTGTAATTACAAAATACATTTACATATTTAGACAAATACAGAAATATGCTGTGGCGGTAATACTATGCAATTTGTAAATACACACGAGTGTATGGATATATGTATGAGGCATCTATATACATAATTATGCGCTTTACATGAGTCTAATTATTTTGTCAAAAACATTGCTTCCATGTCCAGGCATACGTAATTGTGAACATATAATCGCATATGGTTAACCAAATACTGAAATAAAGTGCTGGTGACTGTTGTTAACTCTTTGTTAACTCATAATACATACGTACATATATGTACATATGTACATATATATATGTGCTGCGAAGCGTATATGAAAGCCATATTATTAATAATTTATATATGTGTATGTACATTACGTACCACACACTTTAGATATTTACTTAAGTATATCTGTACTAAAGAAAAAACATGACATACAAATTGAAGCGTTTATTGCCACAAACACTTGTAGTCCCCATAGGTACTTACTCTCGTACATACATACGAACAGACAACATATGTATGTAACGACATGTGCATGTGTTTGTGGTTTAATTTCTAATTTTGTTATTACACCCCCATTCCATAAAATATAAAAAACACACAGAAATTTCTTTAGCATGCCGAAACAGCTCAATTATGTATATATACATATATATATTCTCGATCAACCCGAGCTAACGATCCATCCATTTACAATAGCATTAAATGGTCTAACTCTGAGGCAATAAGCGTTAGTCATCAACTTTTATATGCACATAGCCGCCTCTTGTGCACCATTCGTAGGTTATTAGCGCGATTTCACTATGCCTTACATTCTCTTTACTGATTCTATTTGTAATTGGTCTTCGTTTATAATTAAAAAAGTTAAGCAAAATTAAGTAATCAAATGGCGGCATGGATAGAAGCAAAACAGCTGATTAGTTAGTTTGGATTTCTGTTTGCTAACTAAAGAAAATAAATTTCAGGTTTGTAAATAAGAATAGAGTAGTTGTAAATCTGCTTAGCTTAGGCTTCGTCAATAATTTTGAATTGTTCTAGGTAAGTAACAGTATCTACCAAAATGTAGTCACAGCTTTCACGCCCAAGTATTGGTTTACATGTACATGCATACATATATATGAACAACAACATATTCCATTGTACTAGGACAAAATACACAAAAATACCAGATGTATATCCTGTTGACACTCTTCGTGTTTTTGATTGTATCGATATTTTATTAATCGACCGAAGCAAATACCGGTATTCTCTTCGAATGCAATGAATGTTTACATTCTGTTCGAATAACAGAAGTATTTATATTTATCTCCTCTAGATAAAATTAATAGCTTAGCTATTTAAGGGAAGATAAATAACTTGTTTTATAAATGTCACAATATATGATCAATTATGAAAGAAAAAAATCTGTTGATGTTATACTACAAGATTATCATTTACAACTTGTTATCAATATATAATTTGCATTTAATAATATTTACAATCTACTTGTTAAAAAGTTGTATAACATTCTTCGTATCGAAGATAAGAAGTTATGTTGTATTACAATTAGTATGTGCGTATTATTAGGGGTGTTCCAATAAATGCCGATTCTGCAGGTCCTGCGCATGCGCAAGTTTTACTGTATTGATTTCTGTGAAAGTATTTTTTAAGCCAGAAGCGTTTTGTGAAAATGATTGTATCAAAAGCTATCAAAAACTATAGAATGTAAATATTTAAACTGTCGGGTTTTATTTTCCGAAAAACGGCATTATTTTGTCAAATTGTAGCATTATATGTATACATATTTGTTTGAATCTTGTTAGTAAGTACAAATTTTTTTACTCTGCAGACAGAAAATTGAGCAAATCGGCAGAATGACGCAGATGTCGCAAGACGAAATTATAAGCAATACAAAAACTGTTTTGCAAGGCTTGGAAGCCTTGCGGGTCGAACATGTTTCCATAATGAACGGTATATCAGAGGTGCAAAAAGATAATGAAAAATCTGATATATTACGAAAGAATATTGAAAACATTGAACTTGGCTTGAGTGAAGCACAAGTCATGATGGCCCTAACATCGCACTTGCAAAACATTGAAGCTGAAAAGCAAAAACTAAAGACACAAGTACGCCGTCTGCATCAGGAAAACGCTTGGCTGCGAGACGAACTTGCCAATACACAGCAGAAGTTTCAGGCGTCCGAGCAATTGGTAGCACAACTGGAAGAGGAAAAAAAACATCTGGAATTTATGGCATCAGTAAGGAAATATGATGACAATCAAGAGCAAGACGAGTCCTGCGAGAAGGCCCGCAATGATCCTGTCGTCGAGCTATTTCCCGATGAGGAAAACGAAGACAGGCACAATATGTCTCCAACACCTCCAAGCCAATTTGCTAATCAAACGTCCGGCTATGAGATTCCAGCCAGATTGCGAACACTTCACAATCTTGTTATACAATATGCATCACAGGGCAGGTAAATATATGCAATCAACAATCCGTAGAATAGTCGCGATTTTAACATTAAAAGAAAAAACACTTGTGATACAAAATTTGATGAGTCAGCTTCCAGAATGTTGCGTTTTCTAAACCTTAACGTTGTTTTTATTTCTAAGATCGCTTTAGTTTATGTCCAATTTAATCATATTATAGAGTTTTTTCTTCTTTCAAACTAATTGAATATATTTTGCAGATATGAAGTTGCAGTGCCTCTTTGCAAGCAAGCACTCGAAGATCTTGAGAAAACAAGTGGCCACGATCATCCAGACGTTGCGACAATGTTAAACATTTTGGCACTTGTTTATCGTGATCAAGTTAGTAGGAATATGACGAATTAACTAATATTACAAAATATGCTAATGTTTAATTCTCTGCTTTAAATAGAACAAATACAAGGAGGCGGCAAATTTATTGAACGACGCTCTGTCCATTCGTGGCAAGACACTGGGTGAAAATCATCCAGCCGTAGCTGCGACCTTAAACAATTTAGCCGTGCTATACGGCAAACGCGGTAAATACAAGGATGCCGAACCACTTTGTAAGCGTGCTTTAGAAATACGTGAAAAGGTTCTTGGCAAGGACCATCCAGATGTTGCAAAACAGTTGAATAACTTGGCTTTGCTTTGTCAGAACCAAAGCAAATACGATGAAGTTGAGAAGTATTATCAGAGAGCACTTGATATTTATGAATCAAAGCTTGGTCCTGATGATCCCAATGTAGCTAAAACGAAAAATAACTTGGCCGGATGCTATCTCAAGCAAGGGCGATACGCAGAAGCTGAAATCCTCTATAAACAGGTGTTGACGCGAGCCCATGAACGGGAATTTGGTGCGATTGATAGCAAAAATAAACCCATCTGGCAGGTAATATCAAGTTTTTTGATAATGATTTTGTTTGTTTTTGATTAAATCGTAAGTCTGTGCTGTAATTAATCCAATAGGTTCCAACAATACAGACAACCTAACGGCCATAAGCTGTTTTATCATTTAAGAGGAACATTCTTTTAGAATTTGTAACAGGCTTTACTCTTATGTTCAGAACAATATATAATAAATGCACTCAATTAATAATATTTATGAGCGAATTTGTTTCGTTTTGCTTATAGGTGGCCGAGGAACGCGAGGAGCACAAGCACGACAAGCGCGAAAATACACCATATGGCGAGTACGGTGGATGGCACAAGGCTGCGAAGGTTGATTCGCCTACCGTAACCACAACGTTGAAAAACCTGGGCGCACTCTATAGGCGCCAGGGCATGTTCGAGGCAGCCGAAACTCTTGAGGATTGTGCGATGCGCAGTAAAAAAGAAGCTTACGATTTGGCTAAACAAACTAAAGTCGCACAACTTCTCACGTCGACCGAAAAGCGGCGATCGAAACAGATGAACGATATGGAATTTTCCGATGAGGTAATATATTTTATATAAGTCATCAATCAATATAAAAGAAGAAACTTTAAGAATCGGTTATGATTTGGTTAGTAAAAACTTGAATTCGTTTGACAGCACACAGTTAAAGATAACAGCAACAACTTTAATGTGAAGTCCATGACACAAACTAATCTATTTTATTTTCAATTTTCAGAAATCGGTTAAGCCTTAAGCACATTCTTTGTCGTCTGGTCTTTGTGGAATCAGTGTGCTCCTTATATATAAGCTAACTCGAACATTAACATTATTTATTCATTCCTTAATATTAATTTGGTCAATTTTCTCAATTACGGAGTTAAGTCATAAAAAATCATGTTTTTCGAAAATTTGCAATTGTTTGTTCTAAATTTTTTGATTAAAAATATCTTTACATTACATTTTAACCGAGTATTGAGAGAACTGACTTAAGTTGACTCAAGCATAATTAAGTAAAAAGTAAACCATGTTTTATAATTTGTTATCTCTACAAAATATAGGAACGGCTTTTTAATAAACAACCAAAAATAAGTAACGATTAAATGCATTTGCTGTGTCTCCTCTTTTTTTTTTTTTTAAATTTTTTATAGCATATCGAGTTTAAGGGGCAAAAATAATGTAAGTGGTAAAAGCATTTTTAGTAACAATATAAAGATACTATTTATATTTAATTTTTTAAGTACCTTTTTGAATACTTTTAATGTTATTTAATGACATTTTTTGCGGTTGGGGCTCGATTTGTAGAAAATTAAAGCGTATTTATTATACATTGGGTTAATATTCTAATAAAAAATTGAATAAAACAATCAAAAATGCAAATATATTTAAATTTAAAAGAACTTCAATTCAAGAAATTGGTATTGAATTTTCGCTGCTTTACCAAGTTATTTGTCAAGTTTCACTAAAGCGTATTATTCAGTCATTTATTATCAGAATCAAAAAACAGTTTATACATATATACAAATATATTTATATATATATGTATACACATCTCTATATATATACAAATATATATATATATATATATATAGATATATGATTTATTTATATTGAATATCAATTATATTTAATGAGGGACAACTCGCGTTCATCGAAGACACTTTTAGCATAATTAATCTGAAACGAGAGCAACAGACTCAAATAATTATTCTATTCATTTTTAAGCAATACTTCTTGAGTGTAATATATGAAAACAGTCACAAAGACCAGACCCAGGTTTCAATCCGATTTCTCTATGGTTTCTTATATATAGTTTATGGTGATTTTAAAAGGTTGGGATTTTACTTACACATCTGGATGCGGCCTCAGCACACTCCTCTGTTCGACAACGAATTCGCGGTCGTGTAATTTTTGGTAAGATTGTTGATATTTCTATGTAGTAACTGGATGAAACTTTAGTTGTAGATGGGCTAGGCCCCGTATTAGTTGTCAATGGATGACAAGATAGAATTTCACTAAGGTGACACTCAAACATACTAGTTGGGTTTTCTTCACAAATGGAGAATATACGAACAAATTCCGTAGAGACTAAAAGGCGTAACCTTGCTTCTTTATCACTCCAAAGGTTTGGCTCGTAAAATATGATTTTCTCCATAAAATTTTTACGATTTATTAAGTAAAGGTACTGTTGACCTTTGCTTTGGCGACTAGAATATGGTGGTAAAAGCCCACCAGGTGCACCGGTTACGCATCTGGGTAAACGTTTCCGGCTCGGGGCATGTCGATGTGAGTCTCTGCTAGTTTCACGAACAGCACTTGCCGTTTCTGAAGCCAAATCCAGCATTCCAATAATTGGCTTCGTAACAGTGCCCACCAATCCTTTGCCTAAGCCACTAAGAAATCCTGGCACACCATCGGCAGAAGCACCATCATATGTGTGTCGAACAATACTGGTAACTCCTCCAAGCAATCCAAATCCAAAGCCTTTTATGCCCGCTGCTAGATGACCACCGGATGTATTTGATTGTAGCTCCAAAATTCGTTGCCTCGTTTCATTATCGTGGTCATCCAAAACAACTTTTCCCAAACTATCTGACAATGTTTCAGTTAACTTTGCTGTTGAATTTGAAATTCCATGTGTAACATTTTTCACTAGACTTTTGACTGAACCTTCAAAGATTAGTCCTGATACACCTTCTGACAGATCGTTTGCGAATCCTAGAGGATTTCCCAAGAAATCAACACTTCCCAATATTGAAGCTGCATGCCATTTAATTTGGTTTATATAGTGCATCTTTATGGCTCTCAGGTAAACATCCAATGTCTCAAAATGATACCTATGCGAAAAATTGTCAAGCTCTATCAAAGCATCTTCAAATTTTATTAACGTGAGGCCCAACGACTTTTTCGTGTATTTTAATTCCTCGGGTAACTTTGACGAAGTAAACGCAGACAATCGAACCTGTCAAAAAGTATATTTTATAAGAGAAATAATACAAAAAAATCTTTCAAAATCAGGAATTGATCCTGATCTTACCTGCGTCGGTCCGATACTTAAGTTTTCAAAGTAGTATCTTTTCATATTATTCTCGAATGATCTGTCTTGACGATCTTCATAGTCACAAGGACGAAACGAGTTGTGTGGGTTTTCTTTGCCATATCCAAGAAATGAGGCTATTTTCAGTATCAGCTTTTCCTCTAAATACATTGTGCAGGGTTTTACGTCCAGATTCACGTATTGAAAAATTAAAGCATTCTTATTGGGACTTGGTAACATTTTAAGCATAAATCGCACGGCATTTTTCACTGAGTCCTCCTTTGTTGATACAGTAACATGCAGGGTCACTTGGCTAGCGGAGTCTAATAATTGGTTGTCAATTTGAATGCTTGCTATATTTAGATCTATTGACTTTTCCAGCGAACTATCAATGAATTCGGCAACGATGTTGTCCAAACTAATAAATATGATCTCCTCGCAAGGTTTCAATGTGATTATAGAAATTCCAATTCCTTTGGGAAGATCGACATTTATCTGAAATTAACAAATATTCTTCTATTTAACTGTTCCACATACATTACTTTTATAAATGTTCATTTAGTTTAGTTTTAATAAAAACTTACGTGATATTCATGTGTAACTTGAGTTTTCGCTTTATCAACAATCTGTCTGTTATTGAAGGATGCATGGGTCCAAAGTAAGTCGGGAGCCAGAAAAGTCTCATTTGGCTTGAGCTTTATATCACAAATTTGCACAGTCTTGATCGGTCCATCCAATTTGGTGGATATTTCCAATTGGCCGGAACCAGGCCTTAATTTTTGGGCAACGAGATGTTGTTCGCGCGGTGTTATATCCCTACATTTTGAATGATGTTTAACGCGACCCACTACCGCCTCCGAACCAGACCTAAGACCATGTTTTTTGGAAGGGGACTAAGAGGAAAAAGATTTCGTTTAATCTCAATGAACTTATAAATTAATTATGAAAGCGTTTCAGATATAATGTCTTACCTGAACACACATGTTCGCGTGACACATAAGTCGACCATTTTCAAATCTCCAGGTTTGGGTTGTGGCCCTCTGTTTATTAGGCGTTCGTACTACGAGCGCAGTAAGTTCCGTCGGATTCGGTGGTTTTTCTAAATCTAGGACCAACCGCACAGCGCTAGCCTCATTCGTTTGTACTGGTGGTGTCGAGCCTTCATGTTCCAATTGACCATTGGAATTCATTAGCCACAATTGCGAACGATCTCCAGAATTTTTTTCCATAATGATGACCCTTTTGTCTTGTACACCTAGGACTAGTTGCTTATATTTTTCGTCTGGCTTATCACCATCTCTTTTGAATTGATCGAAGGTGTCGTGAAACGCAATATAGATGAAGTTGGAGTATGTTAAGGTTTTACTACTTGATACGTTAATTGGATACTCAAGTATGTTTCCCCCAGGCGCTTCCATAAGCAATATCTCTTTGCCCAAGGGATCATCCATAACATACGACAATGAAGACTGCGGTCGAACTGGTGTTGGCCAAATAGGTTTCGAGCCTTTTTGTGAAAAACTGATCACCACCTCCGAAAAGTTATCAATTCTTATTGGCGGTGGTAAGCTTCGAGCATCCGTAAACAAGAGAATAAACGTCGCCCCTCTGGATATTATCTCCAGTCTTAGGAAAAACATTTCGCACCATTCATTCCTAACGTTGATGTACAAACTCTGCACCTCGTTAATGGGTATGCCTTTCGACCAACAACAACATTCAACATCTGCGATTCGTACACAAACAAGCGGCTCTCGGTCCCCGTTGGTCCAATGAAATGGGAAATTGCAGTCAATAGGCGCCGAAATAACATTGCGCAAATTCGTAACATCCTAAAAATAGTAAGAAAAACCTTTTAAATTTAGCACTTAATCTAGAACAAGAGTGCTCTAGTCGACTATGCCCGACTATGAGATACCCTGCAATAATTTCTTTTTAAGGGAGCGTGAGGTTCAATAAAATCTTATGTAACCAATTAATTATATTATATCTCATTCTTATCTTACATTCTAAGCTGCCATTTTTAGTACTTACATTATGGATAATATTACATTGTTGTGTAAATTCAAGCTGGTGACCGCTTTTATTGTACAGATGGAAGCGTGGTGACAATGTAACAAATGTGGTGCACGAATATAGACCTCTTCCGCGACGTACTCTAATACCAATTGTGTAGCACCCGGGTCCGCTTTCCGTGCGCAATTCCCTGTATGTTATATTCTTGATCATGCTGAAACTTTTGCACCACTGAAAATATATAATATATATATGTGTACCAAAATAGAGTTGGTTGCTTGGAAAACTCACCTGATTGTTGGCACCGAACGTGCTGCCCAGGCGCACTTCTAAGCTAGGTGATCCTTCTTGATCGGAAAATGAAAACATTAAAGGAGAAACTTGTCGTGCTGTTTCATGTTCATCAAATTGTCCTGCTGCAATCTTATTAGTTCCCTCTTGTTTATAAATCAACGGAAGACCAGTTTTATTTACAATCCAAATGGGCGCACTTATATATATTTCCATTCCTCTTCCTTTTAGGGATTGAATAGATATGTGCAGATGCAATTCTCTGTTTTTGGCGTCAATTAGTTTCAACTTTGGCTCCACAATGCCAATGTGATTCGCCGGAACCTTTAATTGGCCAGAGACATGAAAGTTGTCTAATGTGATGCTCAAGTTAAAGGATTCGTATATATTTCTATTATATATGTTCTTGCTCTCAAAGGCATTAATTCGTCCCGCATTGCATCCATTTATGTTGAAACTTAAATCACAGCAAAGCATATTCTTTAGCATCAGCGGCGACAGCAGTGTAATTGAGTGGCCAGGCATACTCTGATCTTTGTAGGGGTATATTTCCCTATCTATGCTGACGAGTGTGTACAATACGCTTTTGTTGGCATCATAGCAGATGTTTAGATTTTGTGAGCTATCCGTTTTGCAATCTTTCCACACTATTTCATCGTTGCTAAATCCAACATCGTCAATTTTGGATTTCGTAGATTCGCATGGTATATGTGAAATATATAACGAGGCGTCAATAAACTTCAGAGGC